GGGGGAGTTTATACATGAATGCCTAAGCCTCGAAATGACATATCATGCATTTCAAATAACAAGCTTGGCATTAAACAATTAAAAATTGACTTTGTGCAGTGAAATTTGCTTTCCTGTAACACCCCTATTAACCCCAATGATTTACCTTCAGCGCGATCATTTCTTGGAAAAAATATAAAATGTATTGTCCATATTATGAGGCAGCTACATCGCTCCTAAAAATGATCTGCAGCGCAATCAATGCGTGATGTTATAATTGCACCCACTTACTGTGATTTTTCTCATCCGTCAGGGTACCTGGTTCAGTGCTAGTATTCAGTGACCATTAACATATTGACAGGGTAAGTTTTGTTTCCTTTACAAGTTTACTTCGTTCACACGATTCAGATGTTCTGTGTTAATACCGCGAAAACTTTGGTTTCCATCACAGCAGTCGGCAGGCAAAACGTAATCAGGCGCGAAACTGCTTTTGTCAAACTGCGGTTAATAATAGAGGTCTCTTCTAGCGTTTCGCCAGCAAATTGTTCATTTGGTATCACGTTCAACTGTCAGAACAGAAAAGTACCATATAGAATTAATATTTATGATTTTTAAAGGCTGCTCTCTACGGTTTCGACGATACTGAAAGCGTGCTTTACCTTCGCCAAAAGTGTTACATTTGTTTGGGTACATCAAGGTAACAAAAAAACATATCCATCGATCTAATATTCTGAACTAAGTAACAATGTGAAATTTTTTCAGCTTTTTAAATATGAGAAGTTTTCTGCTCAGTGTAAAAGCCTATAAATTTGTGACAGTGCTTGGGCCAGTATAATGAGATATGATTTTGGATCCATTTGGTGGGGTTAGTTCTACAGTAGTAAGGCAGGATTCTTTAAAAGTTTTTGATTGGCTCAGTCGCGGTTTTAACTTAATTATATGTGAATGCAAAATCCGGATTGTGCCTATCGGTTTATTTCATTCAGTTTGCCTGTTTGTCTGCCATCTAGATAACACTTTGTTGTTTCATGGTGTTTTTTTCTGTTTTCGTGCAGCCAGAATCGCATGTTATTTGTTGCTGTATAAAACTATTTACCTGTCATCGACATATTTTATGCCGCTTGATCAAACACAAGCGGTGAAACGCTGTACGCGTACGAAACGAGTTAGCGGACAACATGAAAGGCGATGAACCTGAAACCAAATCAAACTATACCTCAGACAGTGTCCATCGACAGAGTACACTTCATGATCTACTCCAGCAGACAGAATAATGAAAATCGTTTCTGAATGTGTTGTTATTGCTTCTACCAATTACGTGAATCTTACCGTAGGAACTCGTAGGAAAAAAAGTTACTTAAAATTCTTTGACTAAGATTCACAAGCCAAAACCAGCACAAGAAATTAAAACCCGGCGAAAAAGGAAGACCACTTGGGGAAAGATAGAAGACAACTCTCTTTTTTATTGAAGGGCTCAAACAGATAGCACTGTTCGAAGAAACAAATACTTAAAATTCAAATTAGTGCACGTCAAATAGACAGTCAAAGATTACGGTCCAGTTTCAGAGGGATCAGAATCTCAACTACGTAAAGCTGAAGAAACTGTTACTGTTGTTGATAAGAATTCTTTGTTGGTTTGCCAGAGTAAAATCGCCTGGAGGATACATGTATCAGTCCTCGATCTTAATGCGATTTTTCTGATTCTGGAAGGGCGACTTGTTTAGCGTTGACAAAACTAACAGTGGTTTTAATATTTCAAACGTTGAAGGCATTCCTATGCTTCTTGATATGCTGTTAAAAATAATGATATAAATGCCCAGACGGAAATACAATCTCCTTCAGTTTAACGTTATGCCAACAGATCGCACTTGACTTTAACTCTAACCCCAAAAGGAGTGAATTGTATTTTCCCTGATCTTGATATCTACGATTGTCAGACAGAAATGTTCATTTTAATTCTTTCTTTCCATTTTCGCTAAATAGTATCGTTCGTGTTACCAGTCATGTGCTGATCACAAGATACTTATTCATTGATCTTTGCAACACGCACTGGACTAACTAACAATAAACAGGTACTAATATGTTGTTTTTTGTATGGACGAACCTCCAGAAACGAATCATCTAAATTGCCAAAATACCCTGAAATACCCATTTATTGGCCCATGGGCTTATTTTCGGATGGTCTTACAATTAAAAGCATATATCACTTTGGGGTGGGAAGGGGAGGTTGTTTCAGTAAAAACCCTTATCGAGACTAAGACATAGAGCGGTTGTTACTTGAATGTCGAAAGGTAATTGGTTTAAATTTCAATTACTACGCGAGGCAATT